ACACAACAGACTCTGGAGCAGGAGAAAGGTGGCCTGCAAAACTCAATTTCTAGTAAAAAGACCAGACTTAATGGTCTGACTGAGACTGGAGGAACCCTGGAAAGCATGGCCCCGGACTCTCTATCAGAACTAGAAACAATTCCCGAGGCCAGCTCTTCAGGCAAAGATTAGACTGGACTGTGGGGCATAAAATGATACTTGTGAAGAGAGTGATTCTTAGCTCAAGTAGATACATGAGACTAAACGCGCAGCTTCTGTCCGGAGGTGAGATGAGAAGGCAGAGAGGGTTAGGAGCTGGCTGAATGGACATGGGAAATCAGGGGTGGAAACGAGGAGTGTGCTGTCCCAGTATAGGGAGAGCAATTAGGGTCACATAACAATGTATGTATAAATTTTTGTACAAGAGACTAACTTGAAATGTAAACTTTCACTTAAGGTACAACAATGAACAACAAAAAAAAAAAAGACACTGGAGATGGCATGATAGAATTTTGCAAGACCAATGACTTCTTCATTGCAAATACTTTTTTTCACCAAGATAAACTGCAGCGATACGTGTGGACCCCGCCAGATGGAAAACAGAGGAATCAAATCGACTACATCTGTGAAAAGAGACTATGGAGAAGCTCAGTATCATCAATCAGAACAAGGTCAGGGGCCGAGTGCAAAACAGACCATCAATTGCTTGTATACAAGTTCAAGTTGAAACTGAAGAAAATTAGAGCAAGTCCATGAGAGCCAAAATACAAACTTGAGTATATCCCACCTGAATTTAGAGACCATCTCAGAATAGATTTGACACGTTGAACACTAGTGATCGAAGACCAGACGAGTTGTGGAATGACATCAAGGACATCATACATGAAGAAAGCAAAAGATTATTAAAGACAAGAGAAAAAGAAAAGACCAAAATGGATGTCAAAAGAGGCTCTGTAACTTGTTCTTGAACATCGAGTAGCTAAAGTAAATGGAAGAAATGAAGTTAAAGAGCTGAACAGATTTCAAAGGGTGGTTCAAGAAGACAAAAAGTAAAGTAATGAAATGTGTAAAGACCTGGAGTTAGAAAACCAAAAGGGAAGAACACGCTTGGCATTTCTCAAGCCGAGTGAACTGAAGAAAAAATTCAAGCCTCGAGTTGTAACATTGAAGGATTCTAAGGGGAAAATATTGAAAGACACAGCAAGCATCAAAAGAAGGTGGAAGGAATACACAGAGTCACTGTACCAAAAAGAATTGGTCAGCGTTCAGCCTTTGCAGGAGATAGCATAGGTTCAAGAACCAATGGTACTGAAGGAGGAAGCCCAAGCTGCACTGAAGGCACCAGGAATTGATGGAATACGTACTGAGATGTTTTCAGCAAACGGATGTAGCACTGGAGATACTCACTTGTCTATGCAAGAAATTTGGAAGACAGCTTCCTGGCCAACTGACTGGAAGAGATCCATATTTGTGCCCATTCTGAGGAAAGGTGATCCAACAGAATGCAGACATTGTAGAACAATATTGTTAATATCACACACAAGTAAAACTTTGCTGAAGATCATTCAAAAGTGGCTGCAACAGTGTATCAGCAGGGAGCTGCCAGAAATTCAAGCTGGATTCAGAAGAGGATGCAGAATGAGGGATATCATTGCTGACCAGATGGATCTTGGCTGAAAGCAGAGAACACCAGAAACATGTTCATCTGTGTTTTGTTGACTATGCAAAGGCATTCTACTGTGTGAATCATAACAAATTATGGATAACACTGCGAAGAATGGGGATTCCAGAGCACTTAATTGTGCTCATGCGGAACCTGTTCATAGAACAAGAGGTAGTTGTTAATACAGAGCAAGGAGATACTGTGTGGTTTTATAATCAGGAAAGGTGTGCATCAGGGTTGTATCTTTTCACCATAGTTATTCAATCTATATGCTGAGCAAATAGTCTGAGAAAATGGACTATATGAAGAAGAATGCAGCATTAGGATTGGAGGGAGACTGATTAACAACCTGTGTTATGCAGATGACACAACCTTCCTTGCTGAAAGTGAAGAGGACTTGAAGCACTTATTGATGAAGATCAAAGACCATAGCCTTCGGTATGGATTACACCTCAACGTAAAGAAAACAGAAATCTTCACAACTGGACCAGTAAGCAACATCATGATAAATGGAGAAAAGATTGAAGTTTTCTAGGATTTCATTTTATTTGGATCCACAATCAATACCCATAGAAGCAGCAGTCAAGAAAACAAAAGATGTATTGCATCGGGCAAATCTGCTGCAAAAGACCTCTTTAAAGTGTTAAAAAGTAAAGATGTCACTTTAAGGACTAAGGTGCACTTGACCGAAGCCATAGTATTTTCAGTTGCCTCGTATGCATGTGAAAGCTGGACAATGAATAAGGAATACTGAAGAAGAATTATGGTGTTGGTGAAGAATATTGAGTATACTGTGGACTGCCAGAAGAACGAACAAATCTGTCTTGGAAGAAGTATAACCAGAATGCTCCTTAGAAGCAAGGATGGCAAGACTTTGTCTCACATACTTTGGACATGTTATCGGGGGGACCAGTCCCTGGAGAAGGACATCATGCCTGGTAAAGTAGAAGGTCAGTGAAAGAGAGGAAGACTCATCTTCCTTGAGATGAATTGACACAGTGACTGCAACAAGGGGCTCAATAATAACAACGATTGTGAGGATGGCGCAGGACCGGGCAGTGTTTCGTTCTTTTGTACATAGGGTCACCATGGGTCAGAACCGACTCTACAGCACCTGACAACAACAGTGCTGTTTATTGAGGGGCTTATTATGAGGAGGAGCCCTTATCACCCCCACTTTACAGATAAGGAGAGGAGGAGCTCAGCGTGCCAGTTAATGGCAGAGCTAGGGTTTTAACTCCACTCGTATATGCCTGCGGTATCCTCACAGATGTTCAAACAGTACACATTTACTGTTGTGGTGCACACACATGCTGTTCGCAAATAGCGATCCCTCCCTAAATGTCACGTGCATTCGATCAGAGCCAGAACCCACAAGATGCCCCCAGAGCGTTAGCACATGGAAAACAGATAGCAAACAAGAATGGAGATCAGTGTGCGTGCTTCGACAGCGGTTTCACGGTGAGGAGGTGGTGTTCACTTTTATATTGCTGGGTTCTCTCTGTGGCTGCTCTTGGCTGGCTGTGCCCACCATCCTGTAGCTGCACAGTCCAGTTCTCAACCAGCAGCCTTGGGACAGCCTTGGGCTGGCCCCAGCTCTCGAAGCAGAAACTGCTCTGAGGCCAACCCGTACTGGGAGGGGGCACCCAGGCTGGGCTCAAGTCTCTGCTGGCCTTGTGCTGCTGTGTTGCGCTGCTGTGCCGCTATGCCTCTCTGGGTATCTTGCTCTCAGTGGGTTTTCTGCTGCTGCCTGCTCTGGTCTCTTGCTTTGGGTGCTGTTGCAACCCACAGCTCTCTGCCCGCTTCTCATACCAGTCTGCTGCCACTTCTCTGATCAGCGGACGCTGCCTTCTGCTTTCTCCTGGCCCTGCACTCTCCAACCCTGGAAGCTCCAGTGAGGTCTCCATCTTCCCAGCTTTTGTTGGCATCACCACAGGCCTCCTGTGGCTTAGTTGGCATTGCGCCCCCACGTGGTTGCTCTTAGTCAGTCAGCCCCCACTCGTTGGCCTCAGGCGTGGTCCTACTTTCAGAGCCGGGACCAAATCATCCGCTGCAGAGGGCCCCATACCTCACGGTGACTTTGGACCCTGTGCTCTTAATCCCTTTATGTTACGCTGAGGAAATGAGGATGAGTTTCGCATAAAGACAACGTGAGGGAAGATAGGATAGTTTTCGGTATTTGAGAACTAAATGGTAGAAGGGAGATAGAATTTCTTTTCTGTTGAATACTAGAAACTGGTGAAAATCCCAGACAGACATTCTGCTCAGTGTGAGGAGGACTGTTTTAATGATTAGGTCGCTCCAGCAACCATTTCCTTACAGCTGCCCCACGGTGCCCATGGCCTAGTAGGCCTCACTGAGCATTGCCTGAGTGGAGGGATGAGGCTGAGTGGAATGGAGGATGTGTGAGCACCCCCTTTCCTGGATTGCCCACGCGGCAGCCGCAGGTGTTTCTGTTGGGGCCACCGCGGAAGACATGGCTCCGCTGCTGAGGAAGTGGGAGTGCACACCTAAGGTCTCCAGCAAACTGAGTGCCACATACCTCATCCTGGTTAGAGTTTTGGGGTTCTTAACCCAGCAGTAAATGTATTTTCATATAATCTCTAGGAAGTCTTTTGAGTCTGTCCCCAAGTCTTATAAAAGTTAGACTGAATATTTTGAGGGCAGGATTCACTTCTCTATCAGTAGTGTCTAGCAGAGCGGTTGGTACACGGTGTGTGCCAAATCTGGACTGTTGAGTGCATTGTTGTGGAAGGAAGACTTTATTGATGAAGGAGCAAAGTTGGGGACGATACGGCATAGAGAATTTTTTAAAATGAATCAAGCAGTAAGATAGGACACTCTCTCATTTGTGGTTTTTACGAGCCCCGTTGGCAGTGGTTAAATGCTCAGCTGCTAACCAAAAGATCAGTGATTTGAACCCAGCAGCCAGTCCACAAGAGAAAGACGTGGCAGTCTGCTTCTGTAAAGATGACAGCCTTGGAGACCCTGTGGGGCAGTCCTGCTGTGTCCTGCAGGGTCACTGTGAGTCGGGATTGACTTGATGCCAGCAGGTTTGTCAGAGCACGAGTGTAGGATTTGTTTTTTCCTCTATAAAGACAGTTATTTATATGTGACCAAGATGCACTTTATGTACTTGGCAAATGAAATTACTGGAATATAATGATAGAAAGCTTCCAGTACCTCTTAGCTTTGTGATAGGCACTGTGCATAAGTACTTTCCCAATTAGCTCATGTAATGCTCACAACAAACCTGTGAGGTGTGAGTATAGACTAACCTTGGGGCTTTTTGTGGACTGAAAGAGATGGAAAGCATTTTAATTGGATTTTTGAGATAACTCGGCAATTCTCCCCACAGGCCAGAGTGAGCTCTGAGCAGGAGCACTTCCTCATTGTACCTTTTGGACTTCTTTACAGCGAAGTGACTGCTTCCAGCTTGGTAAGAATGGATCTCTGTTCTTGGGCATCATGTAGGTATGGGTCACATTAGATAGTTAAGCATCTTCAAATTCAACTAACATATAAAACCCAAGAAAGATGAAGGACTCCATTTTTTTGTGATTAATTCAGTTAGAAAAACCTTCGAAAGAAGTTGTAAATACTTCTGAATGGTTTAAATATTTTCTAGTTAGGATGCAGACCAAAACCACAATGATATACCATTTCACTCCCACTAGAATGGCTAAGATAAAAAAAAAAAAAAAAAAAAAAATTACAAATATTCATGAGATTGTGGGGAAATTGGAACCATTATCCATTGCTGGTGGGAATGCAAAACGGTACAACCATTGGGGGAAACAGTGTGGCGGGTCCTCAAAAAACTAAAAACAGAACTACCATATGACCCAGCAATTCCACTCCTAGGTATATACCCAAAAGACCTGAAAGCAGAGACTCACACAGAGACTTGTACACCAGTGTTCACTGCAGCACTATTCACAATAGCCGAAAGCCGGAGACAGCCTGAGTGCTCATCACCAGATGAATAGATAAACAAGATGGTACATACATACAGTGGAACACTACTCAGCCAGTAGGAGAAATGAAGTCTTGATACATGCTTCAGTATGGATGGAGCTGGAAGATATTATATTGAGTGAACTAAGTCAGTGCAAAAGGACAAATATTGTATGACTTCATTTATGTAAAAAGACAAGAAAAGGCAAATGTGTAGAGAACAGAGTTTATTAGTGGTTACCAGGGGTGGGAGGGAAGGGAAAGGGGGGTTAACAGTGATGGAAGATGGCACTGATTAAGGGTAGGGTTGCACAACCGATTATTTCAGTTGCTGTCAATAAGTTGTATACCTGTAAAAAGTTGAACTGGCAAAAGTTGTGTGATAGGTATATTTACAGTAACGACCAAAAAAAGTAGTTGCTGAGGCTGTTCATGTACAACCAAATACCTCATGGGATTTAGTTCCTTGATTTGAAGATTTAGAGTCATGGTTTCATGGGACATCCCAGTTAATTGGTCTAATAATGTGTTTAGTGCTTCTGTTCTACCTCCTAGTTTGATGCGCAGTGCCTGGGGTCTTAAAAGGTTGCAAGCAGCCATCCTTGGCACAACAATTGGTCTCTATTTGTCTGGAGCAACAGAGGAAGTATGAGAGTCAGGAATAGGAGGAAGATATGGAATGTGTGGCTAATTGCCCCCATGAACAGCTGCCTCCTTTGCCATGAGACCAGAAGAACATTTTGATCAAAAATCCTATAAAAGAATCCTAATCAAAAGGGGGAAAATGTAGAGCAGAATTTCAAATCCTCATGGAGTCTAGACTTCCTGGAGCCATGGAGGTTGGATGAACCCCTGAAACTCTTGCCCTGAGGTCGTCTTTAAACCTGAAACCAAAACATCCCCCTAGTCTTCTTAAAACCCAAGAGCAGCTTTGCCTAGCTAGTAAAAATGTCTGCCTGAGCATTATGCTCTTCTAAGAACTATCTGCATGGGATCAAAGTGACAACAGCAACTTGAAAGATTGGATAGGAACCTTAGGGGGCAATAAGTTTATGTTAATGAGGGGGGAACAACTCAGAAAAGGAGGGTGAGAATGGTTGCACAACTAAAAGAATGTAATCGTTGTCACTGAATTGTACATGTAGAAATTGTTTAATTGGTGTATATTCTGTATATAGTCTCAACAACAACAACATAGTGAGATTAAAAAAATTTTTTTAAGTACTGTTTTCTAGTTGGGGCAATTTGAAATCCTCTTGGCATTTAAAAAGTTTGTTTTCTTATTTTAAGGTTAAAATCAATCTACAAGGAGATGTAGTAGATCGCGGAAGTACTAATCTAGGAGTCAATCAAGCTGGCTTCACCTTACATTCCGCAATTTATGCTGCCCGACCGGACGTTAAGTGCATCGTTCATATCCACACACCAGCAGGGGCAGCGGTGAGTGGGCCGCTGGACAAAGCCCCGGGCCTGTCAGCATGAGAATGTACATTTTGATTATTGGCAGAAAATCAAGTGAAAGCAGAACACTTTAGAACTCTGCCTTTTGTTGGCAATTTTATACTTGTAATGCGTTTTGGGCTCATTTGTGCGCTGGGTGCCCTGGTTGATTTGGTAATGGTGTACTGATGTTTTGATGTCATGCATATATGATTGTTCAGATGAGGGTTAGCTCTGATTGGTTTATTCCACTTTGAACATACAGTTTTTGATGTCAGTGTCAGAGTTTTATTAGATGTATCATTCTCCGAGAGATGTAATTTTTTTCTAAAAGAATGCATACTATTCCAACCACTAGAAGTCCATGCATGTTTAAAAACATTAGAGATACCTTTGAGAATATAATTGTAAACAGCTACCATGAAGTATGTTTTAAAAATTGCCATGAAAATAATTTTTCATGGTAAAGGAATTTCTCATAGGAAGGCTGATACTATAAAAGGAATTAAATGTGATATTGTCTTTTTAGATTGACTTTTCTCTATGGAATTGTTGCACCGACAGATATTGCTTGAATCTTTGGAGCCTGTTAGACTAGGGTCAGATGCTACTCTTTGTGGAAGACCTTCAGAATTAGCATAGTCTAAGGCCAGATAGGGGGATTGTAGGAAACTTAAGGGTTACATCAAACACTTGGATATTTTTACTTTGAGATTCAATTTGAGTTAAATAAATGTAGAGAAATTATACAATATCATTATCATAAACTCTTATAAATTTGCTTTTATCTAATTTTCTGGTGTTTCAATCTTACCTACAACCTAAGATGAACAGTACACCAAGACTTTTGCAGCCTCTCTTTTGAAATGTCATGAGTGTCTGCTCGTCTTATCATTAAGTCTGAGATTAATGTGAGAAAATCTAAAATGATGTGGTTTTCTTTTGAGACTGTCCCAGCTTCATGACAGCTTTGTTCGTAAGTGTAGGTTGGTAGTGAGTCACGGAGTTCACATTTATTCTCAGTTCATGGTTTCATTCATTTCCAAAGAGAACAAAACAAAACATCTTCCCCGCTTGTATTTCTGCGAGGAGAGCGTTCGCCGTTTGCCTGCACTAACGGTGACCACCTGGTCTCTAGGTGTCTGCGATGAAGTGTGGCCTCTTGCCAATCTCCCCGGAGGCACTGTCCCTCGGAGAAGTGGCTTATCACGACTATCATGGGATTCTCGTTGATGAGGAGGAGAAAGTTTTGATTCAGAAAAATTTGGGACCTAAAAGTAAGGTCAGTAGGCATCGAATCTGGCCTTTAGGGCATAGGGGGGAAGGAAAAAGTCAGGTGTCAGCCTGTTCACCTAGCTTCATGGAACGTTCGTGCTGTCCCCTCAGGTCCTCATTCTCCGAAATCATGGGCTCGTCTCTGTTGGAGAGACTGTTGAGGAGGCGTTCTATTACATTCACAACCTTGTGGTTGCATGTGAGATCCAGGTAAGCGGTGGCCATTCCATCCAGTCTGCAGTTCATTTAGGTGTTTCTGACCTTCACGTAGATTCTTTATACTTGCCCTGCAGGAATAGTCTTGCAGGAATCTGTTTGCCAAAGATGAGCTCGTGGATTTGGGAACTGACCAGGACAAATGCCATTTTACTGATTTAAGTTGGCAAAAGATTACTAGGCCTTTGGTTTCTAATTTTTCTTTTTCTAGTACATACACCGCTGCCGTGTATTGCGTCCCTGGTGCGTGCCAGGCTCTGTAGCAGGTGCTTTACGTGTGCCAGCACACGCGCCGTCTCATCGGGCCTGCTTAGCACTCCTTTTGATAAAACAGGTGTGACGAGGAAGAGCCTTGCCCCGCTCACAGCTGGTGAGGGGCAGTGAGCCTGGCCCACGCACGCCCACGTGTGTGCTCCTCCCACTGCCCCCGACGTGGGTCCGTGGGCAGGAAGTCTCCAGTCTCTGCTCCACACGTTCTCTGGAGTGCTTTGTTTTCCCAGGTCGGCCTCCAAGTATGAATGCCCATCATTGAATTCACCCCAAAGACAAACCTTTGAACATGGCCGTGATTAGTCCGTCACTGCCCAGCCTACGTGTTGTAGTCTGTGCTCCGGTGACTGGATTTCTGTAAAAGCCTAGTCTGTTTCATGGTCCTGGCTCTCTGGGCTCCGTGAGGAGCTCTAGCCATCGTGTTTCTTGTTTTGGAAAAGGTCCGTACACTGGCCAGCGCGGGAGGACCAGACAACCTCGTTCTGCTGGACCCCGGGAAGTACAAAGCCAAGTCCCGGTCCCCAGAGTCTCCGGCAGGGGAGGGGAGCACCGGATCGCCTCCCAGGTGGCAGATTGGGGAGCAGGAATTCGAAGCCCTCATGCGGATGCTCGATAATCTGGTAAGGATGGTGCCCTCACTCGATGTTAAAGCTTCTTCTGAAAGCACAGATGTGGATCTTTTTATAGCAAGTGAAATACACACAGTGTCTGAAGGCCAGTGGAGGACACTGCTCTCAGCGTCTGATAGTGACGATGCACTGGGCTTGTTAGCTTTTGAGCTAAATTGCAATACAATGTAGAGGTGAGGGTTTTTTGTTTTCTGTGGTTTGCTAAAGATAGTCTATGTTTGGACTTAGCACAAGAGCACAGAGAATGCTCTGCAGCCTCCTGCTGGAGCACTAACCTCTAAGGCAGCGGAGGAAACTTCTAGCAGAACCAGCTCCTGACCATCATCCCAGAAGCAAGCTACGGAGGGGGGAATTTGGGAATCGGTTGGTCCAGTGTTTTGATTTTTTGGGTTTTTAAACAGTAAGCTCTGGTTATTTGGGCCTGGCTGTTGTGTTGCACAGATATTAGCTGTGTGTCTGCTGCACAGGAGACACTGGACTCATTAGTGCAAGGACATGAAGCCATCGCCTAGTCAGGGAGACACAGATGAGTCCATAGTAAGTCCCCCCCCGCCCAACAAAAAAAAAACCAAACCAAACCAAACCTGTTGCCATCAAGTGGATTCGGACTTAGAGCGACCCTGTAGGACAGAGTAGAACTGCCCCATAGGGTTCCCAAGGCTGTAGTCTTTATAGAAGCAGACTGCTACATCTTTCTCCTGCCGAGCGTGGTAGGTTAAAACTGCCAACGTTTCAGTTAGCAGCCAAGCGGTAAGCCACCACACCACCAGGGCTCCTTCTGCAGTCAGCCCAGCAGATGTGAATGTGCCACAGCAGATGTGGTGTGAGCCGCAGGAGCTGACGTGGGTGTGGGCGCCAGGCTCAGCCCCCGAAGCCGGGGCCAGGACCAGTCAGGGACAGCAGGGGGAGGAGAGAGAGCTGACCGAGAAGATGGCAGAAGTGGCTAGAGTTAGGTGGCCAACCAGGACAGTGTCACTTCAGGGAAGTCCGTGTGATTGAGAGTGGGGCCACGATGGCCAGGGACTGCCGCAGGAGTGCTAGGTGCTGCTCAGAGTGGCCCAGCGGACTGAGACGTAAGGAGATGCCCCAGGCAGGCTGCCCCAGGTTTTTCTCCTCCTGTTAACTGTTTTGACATTTCACTGCTCTTCTATCTAAAACTCAAGTGAAGAATGGAAGAGGAGAGAGAAAAATTGAGAACACCAGGCTGCTATAGCATATGCTATCAGTAGGTTTGGGAGGTGGGAAGAGAGAAATCGAGATGAGGCAGTAACTCTGGTATACTGATGGGAGATTAATAAGGGAGATGTTCACGACAGGCGTCCCTAATATGCACAGATTATGATGATTTTTAATACTAGAAGGTCTTGTGGTTTATGAGAAGCTAGACAGCTCATCACTGATCATAGTCATCTTCTAACTCAGTGTTGGAATCAGCCACGTAGGCTGTTTGTTAATAATCGAGTAGGATAGAAGGCAGAGTTAAGTGTCCCACACTGGAAGAGAGATTATAATATATGCAGTTAGAAGAAGCAGTAAATTGTTTTTAAAAATCAAGACACAATTCCAGTTTCTCAAAGGAGGAACGGATTCATGTTTTTAACTACAAGCCATGTAAGAGGTCTAAGGTCTGAGTATTGACTTTAGTGTTGATTTGACAGCATTTAAAGGAGAAGAATAAAGAAAAAACACACACCCTCTCAGGATAAAATGGTGTTTGTGAAGTCCTGGGGGTTTATCCTGAAGTCATGGAGATTAGTTGGAGCCCAGGCTCTCCGTAACCAACAGGAAACTTGAGTAAAGTCATGATTTCTTATTATTCATCAACAAAGCACACTTGTAAATGGGACATGGCTAGTACAGACATTGCCTCTCTCTGGGGGTAGTTAATGTAAGGGAGAAAAAGCTCCATTCAGGATTGTCGTCCCCTTTTTTGATGTATTAGAGGAGTGATTGGTAGTGAAGGTAACTCCCAGGAGGCCATCACCCGCCAGAGGCACAGAGCCCAGAGGGGAGCAGGCCCCAGCTCATCTGTAGGGCGAGTCCAGCGTAATCCTTTCAAGTCTCAGTGCTGTGAGTGACATGGCCTATTTGGAGTCAGCTAAATAATTTGGCAGACATCTTTTGGATGCCCACTGAATTGGTCTTCTGTGCTGCGTAACAAATCACTACAAACTTAATGGCTTAAAACAATACCCATTCATCGTTTCTGTGGATCAGGAGTCCAGGCACAGCTTACCCGGGCCCTCTGCTCAGAGTCTCACCAGGCTGCAGTCAGGGTGTGGGCCAGGGCTGGGCTCTCACTGGAAAAGGATCCACTTTCACGCTCCCCTAGGTTGCCAGCAGAGTTCATTTTCTTCTGGCTGTGGAATTCATGGCCATGTGCTTCTTCAAAGCCAACGGTGGAGGAGAGGCCCTTGCAAGATGGGTGCTGCATTTGTCTATAGTACAACCCATCTCCTTTGCCGAGGTCCACTGGTTAGGAGCCAGCCACAGATCCCACTCATAGTTGGGGGGAAGGGATTACCCAGAGCGTGACACTGAAGTCTGTCTGCCACAGCCACACACCCACCGATAGCTCAGTACCCGCTAGACATGAATAAGACACACTGCCTGCCCTTGAAGAGATTGTCTGTGGGGAAAGGAGCAGACGGGCCGTCCCACATGGGGGCTAGGCGCTCTTACAGAGGGGTGAATTGGGTGGGGCACGTGCTTTAGAGCAGAGTTAACAGTCACGAGGCAGAATTGAAGGTTGCACTTAAAACATTATCATGTTCAAGTGTCAAGTAATTTTTCTGGGAACTAATATGTCAGGTGTGCTTGCTTGGTCCTACCTAAAGGTTATCACAGTTTTTAAGGCTGTGATTAAAAAGAAAAACATATTAAGTACTGTTAGGTTAGTTAGTATAACCTGTACTGTAGCCAGCAGCAGGTAAGCCCTATTTTCTTCAGTTTTCACTTCTCATTGAAATATCAGATATGGACATGGAAGTGCACGTATCGTAAGCATTCAGTTTGTGGCATTTAAAAACTGAACACACTGGGTAACCAGCACCCAGGTCAGAAAACAGAACCACACAGCACCTCAGAAGCCCCACCCACCCTGTCTCTGTCACTTACCCCTTCCCAAGAGTAACCACTCTCCTGCCTTCCAGCCACAAAGATTGATTTTGTCTCTTCTTGTGCTTTTTATAAACAGAATTATATAGTATGTATTCTTTTGCATTTGGGTTTTTCACCCAGCATCCTATCTCTGTCATCCACGTGGCATTTAGTAGTCATTTGTTTTCATTGCTGTGTCGTGTTCCATTATAGGAATACACCACAGTTTATCCACTCTGCTGTCGAGGGACTTTTGAGTTGGTTCTAATTTGGGGCTGTTAGGAATTGTGCTGCTGTGAGTACTCTGCTTCCTGTCTTTTGGTGAACACGTATGCGTTTCTGTTGGGCACCCGCTTAAGAAATGAGGCGGTGTTCCCACACAGTCTGCACAGCGCAGCCTGGGGCAAGATAGGGAATATTGACTGTCTTTCACTCTCTTTGGCCCTTAGGGTTACAGAACTGGCTACCCTTACCGATACCCTGCTCTGAGAGAGAAATCTAAAAAGTACAGCGATGTGGAGGTTCCTGCTAGTGTCCCGGGTTACTCCTTTGCTAGTGACGGTGATTCGGGCACCTGCTCCCCCCTCAGACACAGTTTTCAGAAGCAGCAACGAGAGAAGACAAGATGGCTGAACTCTGGCCGGGGCGATGATGCTTCTGAGGAAGGGCAGAATGGAAGCAGTCCCAAGTCGAAGACTAAGGTGTGGACGAGCATTACACACGATCACGTGAAACCCTTGCTGCAGTCTCTCTCGTCCGGTGTCTGCGTGCCAAGCTGTATTACCAACTGCTTGGTCTGTGCCTCCTTACTGTTCATAGTTAGATGACGTAGAGCAAGTGGGGCAGCTGGGACTTCAGAGGCTTTGGGAGCCCCCCACTCTAACACAGATCACTGACCTCCCTTAGTCTGAACCCAAGTCCACCTTAGCCGTTTGCCAAGACCTGAGTAATACTTTCTGCTTGAAACTGCTTAAGATGTGATGGACCTCACTAGTCATTCCAGCATAACCTGACTCCACACGGTGCAAACAGACTAAATAACTTACCTACATTAACCTCAGAGTAGGCCCTCATTTAATTCACATTGTATTCCAGGGCTCTTAATGCCTCCTGCGCGAAAAGGTAGCTTCACCATCACGAGCCTAATACTTGTATGTTGTCAACTCCAGTGATTCCATCCAGTGCCTGGAGTCCTTCAAAGCTTCTGTGTGTTCTTAAGCAGTTTCCCCGGTGGCTCACCGGCTTGCTGTCCACAGACCCTGTCCGCTCGTGAGCTTTGTCACCTCCTCCTCTCCCAAAGCCTCCGAACGTCACAGCCAGCTGCCCTCTGCATGGACTGTGCATGTGAGTAGACGGCCATGAGTGGGGGGCTCTCGGCCCCTGCTGGGTGCGGCATGACCCAAGTGCAGCACAGGCCATCAGCAGGTGCCAGCGACAGGTGCCGCAAGGTGCTTTGTGCCAACCTCAACGCTGCTCAGTTCCCGTCGGCCCGAGAGGCGCTCTGGTGTACAGTGCTCAGACACTGTCGGAGCCGATTCCTCCTGAGATTGGGCTTCATGAACCAAAACCTAGGCTTTGATGGGCCGCCCGGCTCCTGCATTACAGTGTGGGGGGGGCCTGTCCCCGTTAGCCCGGGGCGGAGTCTGTGTGAGGGGCTGAGGCTGGAGCAGGCTTCAGCTGGCGTTCGTTAGGCTAGATGTTCCTAAGACAGTAGGCACCATAGAAGAAAACTGGACTTTCTGTCCCTAGTAACAGCTCTTTAACATTATAGATCTAGTTAAAAAAAAATTTAAGCCCGTCTTCCTAGGCAGTCCTGGTGTTTTCCTGATGCACACTTGCTGGTGGGAGAGCCTCTGTGCTCCTGAGCAAGTGTGTCACGTGGGCCAAGCAGCCCTGTGTGAACTTGACGGGCTCAGCGTGTGGGAGGGTGTCCTCCCTCCTCCCGCCTGCCCTCCCTCTGTCCCTCCTCCCGCCTGTTCCCCTTCCCTCCCTCCCTGTCTCCTTCCTCCCTCCCTCCCTCCCTCCCTGCCTCACTCCCTCCCTCCTTTCCCCCTCCCTCCCTCCTTCCGTCCCTCTCTCCTTTACTTTTTTTGGTTCATTTTGGTTTTTACTTATTTTATGCATTAAAGGAAGCAAGTCTTAAAAACAAACTCTCCACTGATGATGTAAATATGTGATGCTGAATTGCTGTGATGAATTTTTCCTAAGGGTATATGCAGCAGCAGCTTTGAGCTCAGTTTACTGCTAGCTTGAAAAGAAACTAAATCGTAATAGACATTTTAGTCAATGTATGCGATGAAGGGGAGACCTTGTTCAGCGTGTGAATTTGCTTCTTATTGTTCTGGAGTAATAGAAACTCTGTGCCGTGTTCCCAGGTTGGTATCTTAACTCGTAACAGTTGTTCTTAACTTTTCAAATGTGTTCAAGCTTCTGAGGTTGTTGTTTTAATGTTTTGACTAAAAATTATTTTTAATAAAAAGCTGGAGTTATTTTTATCTGAGAAGATAATCGTCAGTGAGTATTCCACAGCTCCATGTCCATTCCATATTTTCCTTTACAGTGGCTAAGCATTTTACAATTTTGTTGCTTTCTTCAAAGTCTTACGGTTTATGGCTATCTTACTGCCTCGTGAAAATATCCTGAAAGGCATAACATCTGCTCTCCAAGATGGGCTTGTTTTAACGTTCAGTGCCTATTCATGCCTAAAAATTAAAATTTGATTAAAAAGCACGTATTTGATTGGAGATCCAAAAAAAGATGTGCGAGTGGCCTGCTGGGTGCCTGTGTGCTGACGATACGCACTGATGCCTAAAACGCCCTCCAACTGAGGACTCATGAAGCGCTTCGAGTTTGTTTGGGATATTTTTGTAACACTTAAAATGATCACATTATATAAAATATTTGACATCACCAAACTCTTCTACCAGGTAGCTGCTGTATAAGCGTCCATGCAGTAGATTTCTCGGGTTGAAAGAGTTACGCAGACAGTGCATTCTGATGCTGTGGTTTCTTTCACTGCTCAGCTTTGGTGATGCCCACTCTGCCTCACAGTGCAGAGCCTTCCACTGCACCTGGGTAGTCACGTCACTCTGCTTTTCATGACTCTGTCATCTCACGCTTTCAGTTTGCTTTGGCGTTGGCTACCTCTCAGAGCAGTGAACCAATGGTCTCTCTGAAGGGCCTCCCACCGGCTTCCCCGGGAGGTCACGGCCACGCTCTGTGGCCAGCCTGTGCGTGCCGTGGATTTCGGCTAGGCATTTTAAATGGCACTTTCTGGGGAGTCACTGCTCTGACTTCTACTGTTAACTGATCTCTGTGGGGTGCTTCCCGCCCCCCTCGACTCTGCTGCAGCGACCCCGGGGGTGCGATCATTGGTTCAGTTCTCGCTCTGGGACGTTCAGTGCATGACGAGATGTGACGAACATGGGGTGGTTGGGTGCTGTGCTGTCCTCTCTCGTTGTCACAGTCCTGACTTGTCACCTGTTCTTGATGTTACAGTGGACTAGAGAGGATGGACATAGAGTCTCCACCTCTGCCGTCCCTAACCTGTTCGTTCCATTGAACACTAACCCAAAAGAGGTCCAGGAGATGAGGAACAAGGTGCGTACCGCCATCCCCGCTCGGTGGAGGCTTTCGTGCGGGGGGGAGGCTGGAGGGTGGGACGGGGCTCGAATTGGTGGCACAGAGAACGTGCTTCTCGTGCAGAGGACTCTCTGTCACCACTCTTGTGGCCGACACTGCCCTGTACGCCGCTTCTGCTGCTCAGTGACCAGTGGGAGTGGGAGCAGTGGTCACTCGGGGCCCCGCTGGTTCTCGAACTCACAGTTGTTCCCGGAGCAGGCTAGAATCAGAGCCGTAAAGCCTGCTCCTAGCGAGGGCAGATGGCTGCTGCACCATTCCAGGACTTATTCAAAGAGTCGGGGGCAGCACTGGGTGCTTGAGAGTGTGAGAGTACTCTGCCGACGCTCCACATCAGTGCCCCATGCCTCCGTAACACGGACACGTGGGAAATACTTCCCTGAGTGAGTGAGTGACAGCTAAAGAGCTGGGCCGTGCAGCGCTGTCTGGAAGGGGAGGAAGGTCACAATAGCCCTAGCCCAGCAGCCCAGCTGGCAGGCACCGTGCTCACTGCACCAGGAGGCAGGAGCAGCATGGACGTGCAGGCCTGCACGCACCTCGGGGGCTGAAGTGCTACAGGCGGTGCGAGTCGGAGCCCCAGCCGGGCTTCTCTTTACTGTTGATGTTTCTCCTTCCCGTCCTCAGATCCGAGAGCAGAACCTGCAGGACATTAAGACGGCCGGCCCTCAGTCCCAGGTTTTGTCTGGTGTAGTGATGGACAGGAGCCTCGTCCAGGTGAGAGCTCAGAATGTCTCTGACGTTAGTGGGTGGTGGCTCTCATGACCGTCGGCCGCCGAGTTGTGCTGAGCTTGGCGATTGTGACGGAGGTAAGTGTGCTAGGCCACAAGTTACCTGTGTGCGCAGCCTCTGTGGTGAGAATGACACAGCCACTCCTCTCTCAGGCCTCGACCAGCACAAGCATGCCAAGGGCCTGGCGGCCCTCCAGCCTCTGCTCCTGTAATGCATGCGGCGTGCGGCGGCCCGCGCTGGGCCTGGAGTCCCCGTGTGGGAGCCGTGTCCTGTGTCAGCGCTGGAGGAGGGTGGGCTGGTAGCTCTGGTTCTTCTGCAGATTGCCTGTCTGTAACCAGGTGCTGCTTGGGAGGAGGGTCTCCGGAGGGGTACCGTAAACGAGAGCCGCGTTTACATGCGTCTGTGTAAACGCTGATAACGGTGCACAGGAGAGCTGTGTAAGTAGGTATCGTAAAGATGAGTGTGCGGCCTCATGCTTCACAGCCTGACTCCACAGGAGTCTTGGTCACATTGTTGACACTGACTGGCTGGCTGCAGGTGCTGGTTGGTGTTAAGTGCACGCTGCATCGCTGTCCCTGTGGGTGTGGCTCCTGCATGCTCTCAGCTGCTACCATTGTGAGCTCTGGATTGGTGTCTCACAGATGGGCCTAGTTTGCTCTCACGACTCAGTTTACTGTTGCAGGACGCACCCCTCTCTGACTGTACGGAAACTATCGAAGGGCTCGAGCTTACAGTGCAGACCTTTAGCCCTGCTAAGTCTCTCTGTTTTAGAAAGGTACTCACTACCCCATCCCTCACTACCTACCAGTGTGCAATGCCGCTGCACCCTTCCCTGCCCGCACCTGCTCCCCTTTCTGGGCGTTTTTTTAGTTACCGAAGTAGCTCTAAATGGCTCTCTAAATGATTGTTGGTGAGATTGTACAGAAGGTTCTGTTCTGCCTCCTCTCTTCTTTAAGACATGAGGTTATCCTAAGTTGTTGCTGGAAACCCTGGTGGCTCAGTGGCTAAGAGCTATGGCTGCTAACCAAAAGGTCGGCATTTGGAATCCACCAGGTGCTCCTTGGAAACCCTATTGGGCAGTTCTACTCTGTCCTTTGGGGTCACTGTGAGTTGGAATTGACTCGATGGCAGTGGGCTTGGGGTTGGTTGGTTTTTTTTTTTTTTTTTGGTTTTAAGTTGTTGGTGAGAAATCTCCAACTTTAAATGTGGGGAGCGTTTCTGAAGCCCTGCATGCGGCCTTGGGCAGCGCATGTTTTTGAGTTCCCAGCAGTTTGCCGGTGTCAGAGGGGCCGGTCTCGGCCACCCACTAGCCGCTCCCCCACGGCCGTTCACCCCCGCTTGCTCTGCTGCTGACCCGTAAACGTAATGGACACAATACTGGGGGCCATCTAATTTGAAAGAGGTCGTTTCAGAAGAACGGAAATAAAACAAGTCAGTCTTTGTCAGCCCTTCTTGATAATGCATTTAGTTATTTTTCTTCCTAAATTTTAGTTTTTTGTTCTTCTGGTTGAGAATATACACAGGAAAACATACACCAGTTCAGCAGATTCTACATGTACAATTTAGTGACAGTGGTTACATTCTCCAAGTTGTGCAACCACGCTCACCTGTAATGGATTGAATTGTGTACGCCAGAAATGTGTGTCAGCTTGGCTAGGGCATGTATTGTGTGATTGTCCACCATTTTGTCAGCTGAGGTGTTAATGAGGAAGGATTAGAGGCAGGTATGTTAATGAGCCAGGACTCAATGTACAGGATCAGGTGTGTCTTAAGTCAGTCGCTTTGAGATATAAAAGAGAGAAGCGAGCAGAGAGGGGAACCTCATACCAGCAGGAAAGCAGTGCCAGGACAAGTGTGTGTCGTTTGGACCCGCGGTCCCTCTGCCAAGCTCCTAGTCCAGGGAAAGACTGATGACAAGACCCTTCCCCCAGAGCCAACAGAGAGAGAAAGCCTTCTCCGGGAGCTGGCGCCCTGAATTCAGACTTCTAGCTTCCTAGACTGTGAGAGAAGGAGTTTCTCTTTGTTAAAGCCATCCACTGGTGGTATTTCTCTTATAGTAGCACTAGATAACTAAGACATCACCCTCCTTTTCTGAGCTGTTCCTCCCTCATTAAACATAAATTCACTGCCCCCTAAGGTTCCTATCTAATCTTTCAAGTTGCCAATTTGATCCCATATAGCTAGTTCTTAAAAGAGCATAATTCTTAAAAAAAAAAAGTATTGATTTTTACCTGTCGAAGAAACCCTGAATGATCATGTTTGAACAACATGATGAAGGTAATTAATGCCATTTAACTGTGCATCAGAGCTTCAAGTTGGTTCATTCTGGTTCAGCCCCCTGTGGAGAATTTGCATTTCCACCCCAGATATACTGAAATCGGAGTCTACATTTTAACAAGATCTTGTAAGAATTACCTGGGTGTCTTATTAAAATGTAGATTCTGATTCAGTGTATTTGGGGTAGAAAAGCGAATTCTCAGCAGGGGGCTGAACTGGACCAAAGTGTTTCCAATGCCTGCTGCTGTGCCTGTATCTGAAGGTGGAGGACATGGCAGATGTTCTGTTATCGGCCTACTTCCCACAATTTTAAAAAAAGACCGAAATGGACTCCAGATTTTGTGGAGCCACTGCAGCTGGATGAATCCCCGAAACTATTGCCCTGAGATAATCTTTAAACCTTAAACCAAAAATACCCCTGAAGTCTGCTTCAAACCAAACAGTAGTTCAGCTTAACTAGTAAAGAATGTCTGCCTTGAGCATTGTGCTTTTTAAAGATCTATCTACATGGGATCAAATTGACAACAGCAACTCGAAAGATAGGAACCTTAGGGGGCAGTGAGTTTATGTTAATGGGGGAGGAACAACTCAGAAAAGGAGGGTGAGAATGGTCGCAAAACTTGAAGAATGTAATCAGTGTCGCTGAATTGTACATGTACAATCTGTTGAATGGATGTATGTTTTGTTGTGTATATTCTCAACAACAAAAGAAATAAAATTTGGAAATAAAGGACTTAAGAGACATATCAACCCTACCCCTCAAAAAAGAAACTCCTGATAATTTTCTTTAATGTTGCAGAAATTGGGGAGAATGAGTCCTTTGAAGCCCCTAGTTACCACTTCTCCATGCACGTGCGCACCTCATGTGGACAGCGGGCAGGTCTGTCTGCCGTCATTTACCCAGAAGGAAGGGAACCTTCCCTGAGGATTTGAGTTAACCCTCTTTTTACCTGCCCTGCCCCGGTGATGGCATGGGGCGTGCTGGCCTGTCTGCAGAACATGGTGCCGAGGGCAGGAAGCAGCTGGCGGCCTGAGTTAGAGTCTTGGTTGTGATGTTTCCTGTCCGTCCGCTCAGAGGAAGTGTTCAGCGCTCTCTGTGGCTTCGCATACCTCCCGTGAGGTGCAAGTCTCGTGTTAGTGAGGTGCCCACTGGCTGGCTGGGGGAGGCAGTCTGTGCTGGAGCCTCTCCTGCCTGCATCCCCCTCTCGTGACATTGTTCACATGCTGAGCCATTAATCCTCCACAGCTCGTTTCCCCGTCCTTAGAAGTTACCCCGTGCTGCTGTTCCTGGAGGAGCCTCTCAGAGCAAGGGGCAAGCACACTCCCTCCCTGTCTGCTCGGTTGTCTTGTCTTGGCTGTAAGCCATTGCTCTCTTGTTAGTGAACAGTCTTTACCTCAGACTGTGAAGGCGTATTTGGGTCCGAGAGCCACGTGGCTCCCCGCGCAGGGCCCGTCTGTGGGGCTGGACAGGGCTGTATGGTTCCTTTGGCGTTAGTTGCATGGGGTGGTTTTGATCTGCGCTGTGTCAGGGCCATCTGGAAGCAGCCTGGCGAGGCATATTGAAGGTGCCTGTGTGATGGACCATCATCCATGTGCAGTGTCGGGTCTGCTCTGCACCAGCGGTGCTCAGACTGGGGTGCATCATGGGTGCTGGGCTGCTTCACAAAGGACAGACACAGGCCCCTGCCCTGGCCTTGGGAGTGCGTCCAAACATATCATTTTTTCAGGAATTCTGGTGACCCTGATGCAGTCCCAAGTCTGAGCACCTCTGTGTGAGCGACGGGTCCAGGTATCATCAGCACTGGGAACTGAGAGAGCTGACGCGTGTAAAGAGACGCAGCCCCACGTGGCCCACAGCCACACGCGTGGTCTTGTTCCAGCTTCCTTCGTTCCCGTGGCCTTTCCTGCCCTGACTAAGCAGGTTTCGTTTCTGTGTTGAGGATGAGCGTTGGCCTGTCCTCGGGCTGTTTTTCCACCTCCTTCCGTGTGGGCCCTGGGACATTCATCCTCTCGCTCCCTGGAAAACGGCATTTCTCGTTGGCAAGTTGGATTTCTCCTTGGCCGGTGGAGGGGAGGATGATGTTAAATGCCGTAAGAACTTACTCTTCCCAGTAGGACAAGTGCAAGTGAGCTTGCTTCCAGCAGGAGGTGCTGAGGAGCGGCATGCTGGGGGCCCAGGAGCTGGGGCTTTTCTGAAGGACCTCGTGGCCTCGCTCCCTCCCTGGTGCTCCCCGTGCACATGATGCAGAGCACGTGCTGTTGGAAAGTACCATTCTTAACAGTGGGAACAAGCCACAGCCATACCAGATACCCCATTTCAGAAAGAGTGATAAGCTGCCCCGTCTAAGGCCCTCTGGAGTTCAGTTTTTCCACGTCCCAACAGGTCGCCTAGAGCCATGTGGCTTTCTTCTGGGCTTGACTGCACAGGGACAGAGTCGCCAGAGACCAGGCTGTGAGGGTGTGTGCTGAAAGTTGTCCCACTCAGGAAAGGACTCTCCCTTCCTGTTTATCGCGAGGGTGTCCTTGACTGTGTGCAACCATGTGCACGGCCCTCTGCGTGTGGCCGCGGGCCCGCCTCCGAGCGCTCAGCTGACTTCTGTTGAGCACCTAGTGTGTGCGTGGCCCAGGATGGCAGACACTCGCACTGTACTGACTCCTGTTTAGCTTGAGTCGGTTCTGTCTGCAGGTGAAAAGCCTGATGCTCAGGGTGGCTGGGTCACAGCCACGTGGGCACAGTGTCAGAGGGGGCCTTCATCTCACCCGCGCTGCCTCAGCCGAGCGCAGAAACGCTCACGGACGTCTGTTTAGTTCAGAGCTTCGTGAGTGACCAGGCAGTGAGCACGGCATGAGAGCCTCCATGGCTCTGAGGGAGCAGCTGTTCCCCAGCTCCAGTCCTCACCCGGGTCTCCCCCCGGGGGCACTTCCTTCCCTGCAGAGAGCAGGCCCACTCCACCCTGTGTCCGCTCTGAGCTGGTGCGGACAGAGCTCTCCCTGAGCCTGCACAGAACTCATCAGAGCTGAGACAAGGGCTTTGACACCTGTCACAGTCACTTCTTGGACGTTTTATTCTTTTACTGGCTTTGAAATTTGGTTTAGATGAACTTCAACGATTCTCTCAAACCTCGTAGCACCTTCTCGTTTTATCGGCAGCGACACGGAGACTCAGATGCAGCTCGCTGGAGTGCCTGGGGTTTCTAGAATGCCGTTGCTCAAAGGCATCTCGGCACCTGCCCAGCCCGGCACGCTCACCTGCAGAGACTCAGACGGGCCTGTGGTGGGAGGGCTGATGCGCGGTGGGCAGGATTCAGCGTCCTCCTCAGGGAGGCAGCGCTGCTTGCAGTCAGGAAGAGGGCTCCCCTGACCGTCTGGATTAGTCCCCGAGCCTCTCCGAGCGGAGCCGTCTCTTCAGCAGCCCTTTTCATCTGCCTGTGTGTCCAGCCCCCCGGCCCGGCTTGCAGAGCAGCTGCCCAGTGACCTGGGGCTCCCCAGGACCCGTTGGGTGGTCACTTCCCTCAGGAAGTCCTGCCTTGGTGTCACCTGTCACCAAAGGGGCAGACCTGGCATCACCGGCTGTGTGGCCTTTGCTGGGCTGACTTGTTCGTGGCGGCTCTTGCTGGGTGACGTGCATGCGCATGTGCTGTAGTCACAGGAGCCCCGACCAAGCTGCCTGCTGGGCAGGAGAGCGAGGGGTGGGCTGCACGCCTGCAGGGCCGCCCGCCTGCCCCCTTCAAGGCTGTCTGAGTACCAGCTCTTGTGCTTGCTTGCTTGCTTGCTTTTCTCTTTTATACACATTTTCAGTTTTCCAAATTTCAGATGAACACTAGTGTTTGGGGACATTTTGTCATCTGTAAATACTTTGGGCTAAGTTTCAGGAGGTGGATAGGAACGTTCTAGATGCCTAATCCAAAGAACAGAACTTGTCTGAGCTCCCAGAAGGCGAGCAGACCCCCAGCACACCTGCCCAGGGTTGAGGTCATGGCACGCATGGCGTCGTGCAGGAGGTGGTGGGCTTTGTGAGACACGACAGGAAGGACTCTGTCGTCCCACCTGGCTGTCAGGAGTGGCCCCAGTGAGCCCCATCCCTGCTGGGGGTCCTCCGCGCCCCATGTCGGTGCCTTGGCTTCTGCAGCCGGAGCGGCTTGTGTAGCAGTTTTCCGCCCGGTAACGTTTGTAGCGTCTGTTTTCACGTTTCTGTGTGCCTGAGCCAGGGAACGTAGCCTCCCTGCCCGCTGCCCAGCCTTGCCCACATAGGGGGTGGAGCTCTGGGGGGCTGGGCTCCGTGCAGACCCCGCATGCCCTTTTGTCCCCAGGGGGAGCTGGTAACCGCCTCCAAGGCCATCATTGAGAAGGAGTACCAACCCCACGTGATTGTGAGCACCACAGGCCCCAACCCCTTCAACACGCTCACTGACCGCGAGCTGGAGGAGTACCGTCGCGAGGTGGAGCGGAAGCACAGGGGCTCGGAAGGTGAGTGTGCCGCGGGTGGGGCAGTGGGGTGGGCAGTCAGGTGCACAAGTCAGCCTTGTTGAGAACAGGACATTCGAGCTACCTCTGAGGAACCGCCAGATCAAGTACACTTGCAGGTGTCCCTGGTCCAAAGGGGCCACGGATGTATGTGTTTAACAGACCTCTCTAGAGAGCATTAAAAAGATGACCCCTGAAGCATCAGAGCTGCTGCCACATACAAACCATACAAACCATCTCTTTCTCATCATGCCCCCGAAAGCGCACCGTCTCTGCCCTTCCTTCTGGGCCAGTCAGCGCTGGGACTAGCCAGCCTCCTGGTGGATGGAGAGTTTGGTGACTGCTCCTGAAGCAGCCTCTGATTTGCATTGTCACTTCTGTTGAAACTTGATTGTACAAAACACTCACCTAGTTTGCAGTATGTCAGCACACTGTGCCTACCTGCCACTTTCCATTAGATGTGCTTTATTAAACCTCACTGCCCTCGATTCCAAGTAAGCTGTTGTCTCCGGGAATGGAGCTTTCTCTTCCCGCCACGTGTTCCTGCCGAGAGCTCGGTCTCACGGTGTCGTAGTTAACTCTACAGTAGGAACTGACTGCCGTGTGTGCCTGGTGGCTGGTGATGTGGCCGCATCCAGCGCCTGTGCGCATACGCGTGTGCGCATGTGCGTCTTTCCGCCCTTTGAATTCTTCCAGTCTCTGGGCAACAAGGGTTTGTTTTTGGTGTTTTTTAGTCAAACAACATGTAAGAACGTGTTAGGGCATGGTGATAGGGTAGGGGAGTGAACGGGGACCCATATAACTGCACTCTGTGGTCACGGAGATGCCAATGGTGTGTGCCAGTGTGGGTACCCTCTGGAGACCCCTCCCTGTCACTGATGGCCAGCCTTAGAGCCTGGGCTGTGTCCCCTGAGTCCTTATAAGCGTGTTTTACTTTAGAAAATGATAATATGTATCATACTGCCAGGTATAAATGATCGGTAGAAATGTTCTGCATAGGAAATTAGAACCAAGGTGGCTGATGTAACATGCTTACACTGCTGACATTTAACACACACACTGCCGACGTAACACACACCACTGACGTAACACACTGCTGACGTAACACACACTGCTGACGTAACACACTTACACTGCTGACATTTAACACTGCTGACGTAACACCGCTGACATAACACACACTGCTGACGTAACACCGCTGACGTAGCACACACTGCTGACCTAACACTGCTGACGTAACACACCGCTGACGTAACACACACTGCTGACGTAACACACCGCTGACGTTACACACCGCTGACGTAACACACCGCTGACGTAACACACACCGCTGACGTAACACCGCTGACGTAACACACACCGCTGACGTAACACAC